GGCATCTCTGGTACGCACTGGGATGGGGGAGCCTCTGAAAACAGGGTCTCAGGCCCCCTCACTCCCTCCTGGTCTCCAGGGCCCACGTTCCGAAGGCTTAAGGTGAACATGAGCGAGAGTCTATATCTGTGCTGTGGACACGTGTATGTGCCGTGGACTGAGTCGTGGGCATCCCTGCTTCTGGGATACAGACACACATGGCTGTGTGTGCATGTGTGTGAGGGCAACATGTCCAAGCCCTAGAGTGTGTGTGGTGTGTGTGGGCTCGGGCCCCACCCCGGCCTGAGCGCTTCATCCTGTTGGGGGGAGTGGGTGCCTGGACCCACTTTCTGCCCTGCCGCCTCCCCCCTCCGCCAATGTCTTGGGGTGTTTGGAATTTAGTTTTTGTGATTTTGATCTCCCTGTCCCACCTCCCCAGTTCTCAGAAAGGTATGTGGGGATAGGGGTGGTTTGGGTTTGAGGGGTCCTTTTTCCTTTCTGTGTGTGTATGTGGTTTATCTGACAACTCTCTCCACTCCCCACCAGCCTTATTCCCTGTATTTGTTCGGTACAAGCAATAAAGACATTCATTTGAGGAAAAAAAAAAAAAAAAGATGTTGGGAGTCCAAGGAAAAGTACCTAGAACCACCTCTGCCTGGGGAATTCTTTATTCTTAGCCTTATATTTGGGGATGGCATGTGCTGGCCTCAAGAGGAGGTAAGGAAATGGGAGCCCAATGGAGAGCAGTAGAGATTATACTGAAGAGAGAATAGCTCCTGAGTAATGGTTCCTACAGATCAAACTAATGCTTTCACCTCAGCAGCAAAACTCAAAAATAGTAGGCCACATCTTGTCATGTAACAACTTAACTTCGAGCCAAGAAATGCAGATTGAAGGAGAAGATGGGGAATGCTCACTTTTCACCTTTCCAAACTGTCTTGATATCTTTTATTGGACAGCATAAACCCCTGTGGTCATAACCACTATTTATAAAATAAAGGTTAAGATTCACACTTTGTTTTTTAAGGAGAAAACACATTCTCTAGGTAGACATCTGTATCCACAAGAGAATTAGAGTAGAAGTTTAGCTCTCATGCTTTTCTAACTTTCTCTTCTCCTTAACAGATAACTCAAGTGGGCCGGGGATTTAGCTCAGTGGTTTCACTGCCCGCCTTGCAAGCGCAAGGACCCAAGTTCAATCCCCGGTATGAAAAAACAAAACAAAACAGATAACTCAAGTACACGGTCTTAAACTAAAATATAAATGACCTGCATCCACTAGATAAATTACAAAGAAACTACAGGTCCAAAGATTTCTTAATGTTTTATGGTCTCTTCACATGTACATCATCTACTCTTATGCTATACAGAATCTGACTTACAATTTTTAAAACTCCATAGCAAATAAACTATCTCTTCAACTGCACAGAAGCTCAGAATTCCAGGGAATTAAAATCCAAAGGAGCAAGCCAAGAAAAAGGGAGCTGAATGGACACAGCAACTTCCTTTTCTCCTAGATCCTCAGAGTCCAGTCTATACAAAGTACTGTGTCTACATCATATTCCTCTCAATATTCACCGCCAGATATGCCTGCCCTTTAGAACTTTCTGTAGTTTTGGTCTTAACAAAGCATCAATATAAGAACACTCCACTTAAGATAGTTTCTATGCATTCTGGGAAATCATACTGAAAACAAAATCCACCAAGCCACACAATAGCAAAACCCATAGAATGTCTCTTTCGTTAAGTACAATGCCAGGCAAAAGTCTCTCTCTCTGTAAACAAATGTGCATGCTTTCATTCCACAGACAATGAATACTATGTAATTCAATGCTACACAGAGAAGGAGATGGTTCCCTGTAGGCTAACAGCCAGAAAACAAGAGTTATAATTAGCTGCCTGCAGGAGCCTGGTACATTCTACTCCCTATGCTCTTCTTAGATGGTTTACTGTCTTTTATTTTTAATTGTACCAGATTAAATGCTTTTAAAAGCAAGTAAGTACATATTTTCTCTTACAATTTTCTCTCATATCCTATATTTCCTAATACCATTCTATAGTCAATGAACAAGGAGACTAATTTAATAAAGACCAAGTAATGTGCATGACTAAGTCCCCTCACCCAGTCCACAACCCAACTACTGTGTAGCCCAGTGAGGAAAACACACTCATGCCGCCATGCCCGCCGTTATCACCTTTACAGTAATCCGCAGGGTCCTCCTGTTCCTCATCGTCTGATCCCAGGATCTCCTCCTCTGGCTCTGGGGGAGTAGGGTCTGGTAGTGGTGGTGGTGGTGGAGGAGGAGGTGGAGGAGGAGGAACTAAAGGAGCTTTCTGTTGAGGCTCAGGCCTGAAACAGTGGAAAGAAAATTTCTATTTACACATAAGTACATCTTGCATTATGGAAACATTTGAAAGTTTCTAAACTTGGGAAAAATGAAAACTTGTCAAATGGTAAGAAATGCTGATTATTGTCACTTCATTCATCTTAGATGAATTTAAGTATGTTTCAATATACAGATGAAGGACTACCCTCATGAACTGAGGAATATTTTATAGGTATATTTTCATTCAAAGTTTCAATATTTCTTAAAGCTTGAAAATGCTACAAAATTTCAATGAAATGAACAAGTATCCTATGACATACATCTTTATTAGTTAGAAAACATCCCACTGAGATTTTAAAAACACAGGTGCAAGGAGCCCTCAACCTTTTTTTGGTGGTACCAGGGATTGAACTCGGGTCCTTGCACTTGTGAGACAGGTAATGGAACCACTGAGCTAAATCCCCAGCCCAGCCCTCAACCCTTAAAGGGGATTTTTTTCTCTTATATGAAAATCAGAATTTCCTTCCCACAGAAATAGCAGGAATAAGATTAGGTTTCCAGAATGATTCATAAAAGCTGATTCATATATAATCTACCTAAAGTATAGTTATTTTAAGAATTGAGTTATTTTATCTTACTTATGAAAAACACTATCCAAAACTGGAAATTAAAAACCCACAATCAGTTAAGTACAAATACAGTCCATACACTATACAAAGGTCATTTCTACTTGTCCCAAAAAAAGGCTAAATGATGTTTAGTATAATCTTTTACAAAGAAGAGAAAAGACAAGAAAAAAAGTTTGAACAACCGGGGATTTAGCGCAATGGTTCCACGGCCTGTCTCACAAGCGCAGGGTCCCCCAAGTTTGACCTCCGGTACAAAAAAAAGGTTTGAGGGCTTAAAGAGGTAAACCTTGAAATATCAAGAATAATGCACACATAATTACATTTGCTCAGAAGTGAAACATTCACAATGGGATCCTATAAAATCAAGCCTGCAGTTATTATGTAAGTTAATTGCCCTGGGGGCTGAGAGTGTAGCTCAGAGTTGGCACTCTTGCCTGGTATGCACAAGGTCCCAGATGTAGTCTCCAGCTGTGAAAAAGTAAGATGCTATTTCTAACCATATCCCAGTGGGGAAAATATGAACCTAATATCTCAACTCAGATGCCAGAAGCACATGTGTTGCTTAAGCTGCCATCCTAACAGGAGCACTTCTGCTGTCCCTGAACTAGCCTCACACTGTGGGTGAAAAGTGAATGGGAACAGATACCTGTGGGAGGAGAAGGGGTGCTGGGGAAATGAGGGTGTCTGAAGCAGTGTCAGCAGGCACAAGTGGGGGAACCCTAGTGGGGAGCAAGAAGAACGTCAGTTGCATCAGTGTGGTGGCACAGTGGCATTTTTTTGCCTGCCCACAGTATATTTTCTTTTTCTGAAAGTATCTGGCTTTCCTTTGGGGCCACTGCCACTCCCTGCACAATGAAAATCTGATTCCAGACCCCCTCTCTCCTCACAGTAGCACAGCCGGGGCATATAACCAAAGCTCACTCTTCAGCCCCAGAACTCTGAGGAGGTCAGCTGTCATAGGGCTGCAGCCTCATCCTCAGCTGTTGCAAAGAATCAGGGACACAGGAGCTGCTGAGACCACTGTACCTAAGCTGGACCTCTATGTCCTTGCAAATCTGAGAGCCCCAATAACCTTTAGCACAAGTTAACTATATCTAATATATGTAGCGTCCCAACAAAACCACAAACTGTCACAAGTGGGAAAAGGAGGGAGTGATAGGAACAGCAGAAACACCAAAAGTCATAAGGAAGGGGTGGGGATTGCACATGACAGGCAATGCTAGCAAGAATGCCTACCTTTGACAGGAAAACTTAAGTGCTTATAAATCAAAAGTGACATATTGATTATTACTTCCTAAAATTTATGAAGAATCAAAGTTACAGCTCCCCAAGGAGCAGACATTAGGCATGTGGTGATGGTAATATTCTGAGTTACCCAGCAGTCACAATGGGGCACTGAAAGGAAACAGTCACACTCAAGAGCATGCCTATCACTTCTACAGCACATCTCAAAATTCCAACAGGCCTTACTGAAGTGCAGTAAGGTTTCTGGCAGCCTTATAAATGCTCCTTTTGTTTTTAACAGACAAGCCATGGCTGAGAGTGGAATGGTCATAGGCGTAAGAGAATCCTGAAAAGGGGGAGGTAGGGGAGGGCCTGCAAAAATGTCATCATGGCACCTAAGAGTGAGAAATGACCTCTGAGAGCCAGGCACTACCCATTCTTCAGGGGAGTAGGCAGAATCTCATCCATCTGATGGGTTGGCTCAATTAGAAATACTTCTGAAAGCTGGCTGTTTCTACATAACTTAGAGTAGTTTCTCTGACTCTAAAACACAGTAGAAATGACTTAATGAAAAAAAGGAGGACCCTTTTCTACTAGTGCAGTACACTACTGTGCTCAATACATCTGGACCAAGTTATTTATTTATTTATTTATTTATTTATTTATTTATTTATGTATGTATGTATGTATGTATTTTGGGTACCAGGGATCAAACTCAGGTCCTTGCGCTTACGCAGCAGGCAGTGAAACCACTGAGCTAAATCCCCAGTCCCCAAGTAATTTATTGCTATGAGGACTATCCAGTACATCACAGGCATCCCTCACCTTTAGCCACTGTACATCAGCAGTGTGTACACCACCACTTCCAGTTGTGAACATCAAAAATATGTCCAGATATTGACTAATGTCTCCTAGAAGCAAAATCATTCCCACTGTGAACTGCTGCACTAGAAGTATTTTCTATATACTGTACAGGTGCTCCTCATTTAATAACCAAGTTGTTTGTTGACTGAATTGGTCACTAAAGGAGGGATTGTATAGAGTATGAACATTACAATATTCAGAACAAAGAAATGGTCAAAGGAACTCTAGCTTGATGACTTTGCTTTTATTTCCACAACTCTGACATGCAATACTGTAATACATAACAGAACATAAAACTACAGTACTATACTGTACAGTATAGTCAGCAAAAATTACAGCACTGTCCACAAAAAAGACACTGAGGCTCAATAAACAAGATGTACCGAACTATAGATAGACAGATAGATAGATAGATAGATAGATAGATAGATAGATAGATAGATAAAGATAGATAACGATGGGTCATAAGTCCAAGGGGCAGGCCGTAAGTCCAAACACTGCACTGCAGTTGTAAGAAAGAACAGTCATTAACCAACTATATCATTGAATGAGAAATACCTGTATGGTTTTACTTCAGCGGACAAGATTGTGTCTGTGATAAGGGAGAAGAGATTCTAATTTTCACTGTCCATTTTTTTCTCATTTGAGAGGCAGTGTTTCTTAGATACAACATCAAAAGCATAAGCAATGAAAGAGAACTCAATAAACTGGACTCAGCACATTTTAAAACTTTTATACTTCAAAGGATACCACCAAGAAAAAGAACCCCAATAAATGGTAGGAAGTATTTGCAAATCATGTAACTGGAAAGGGAGTTGTGCCTAGAATGCACTGCATAAAAAAGTCTTAGAACTAAACAATAAAAAGACAAATCAATTGAAAAATGAGTAGGGGCAGGGGAGTGGTGCTCAGTAGTACAGCACTTGACTATAATGTGTGAGGCTATTCGATCATCAGTGCTGCTGCAAGAAAAAAACAACGCGTGTGTGTGTGTGCACCTGTGTGCATGCATAAAGGATTGGAACAAACATTTCTCTAAAGCACATATACAAATAACCAAAATATATGAAAAGATGTTCAACATGATTAGTCATGTGGAAAAGGAAACCAAAATTACAATGAGATTTCACCTCATATTTAACAGGATAGCAACAATCAAGAACTCAGAAAATAACAAATGTTAGTAAGGATGAAAAAAACTGGGACCCCTCATACAATGCTAATGAGAACATAATTTAGCACAGCTATTTTGGCACAGTCTACACATTCCTCCAAAGGATAAACAGGGTGATTAACATATGGCCCAACAACTCCACTCCTGGGGATATATATACCAAAGAGAAATGGAAATATACATCCACACAAAATCTTGTCCATTAGTATTCTCAGCAGCATTATTATTCATAATGAACAAAAAAGTAGACACAACCCCAATGTCCATGAACTGATAAACAGATAAATGTGGTGTAATCTTATAATGGAAAATTACTCAGCAATAAAAAGAAATGAAGCACTGATACATGCTACAATATGGATGACCCTTAAAACCACTATGCTGAATGAAAGATGCCAGTCACAAAAGAGCACAGGTTGTATAATTCCATTTTATATCAAATGTCCAGAATAAACAAACTTTTAGAGACAGAGTAAATTAGTGATTACTGGGGGTATTGCAGTACAGATGACAGAAAGAGGCATATGAGGACTGACTACTAATAGGTAGGGACTTTCTTTTAAGGAGTGATAAAAATGTCCTAACAACATGGTAGTGATTATATAATTCTGTGAACATACCATGCTCACTTCAGCAGCATATATACTATAATTCTATGAACATACTACAAAGAACACTGAGTTGCATACTTTAACGGGTAAACTGCATGGAGTATATCTCAAAGAGCTATTTAAAAACATGAAAGAAAAATATATATACCACTTTATATCATCTTTGAATGACCCTTGTAGAGTATCTGCTTCCAAGAAAAATCAGAAATATTCCTATTTGGATTAAGCAATCTGTATGTGTGGTTTCTTTTGTAAGTGACCACTACATTCACAGTGAAAAGAATATAGTGTAATTTTTTTTTTAAAGCTGAGAATAGACAGAGGAGGACTAGAGGTTGACGTGCCATGGCTCCCAGCCCAGAGGAGACTTCCAGGTTGGCGTGCCACAAACATACCCCCCCTCCCCCCGCAGCGACAAAAATGAGAAGACAGGTAAACAAGCCTCAGAACCAAACTTCCAGATCACCTACAGCAACCCCAAAAGGAAACAAGATGGAACACTCTGATACGCAACCACCTGG